TGATTTGTAAATTCTACTAGAACTGACGGTAAGAATTGAAGTGGAAATAAATAATATCGTGTGCAATCTTGATTAATATAAAATTAAAAATATTTGCATAGAAAAATGTTTGCATTCAGACAGAAAGTTTTTTGAAATATTTGCAATTACTTTTTATAAGAAGGATTTATTAATAACCGTAATAATTACTTATTATATTACTGATGATTAGGATTCAGTTCTTGACAATTACATTCTAAATTAGAATTTTAAGGATATATAATGAAAATACGCTACGCACAAAAATACATTTTAGGAAAAAAAAAATGAGTTGATTTTTTATGTTTTAAAACTTCTTAAATTCATTTAGTAAACATCGTATCCTCGTTGTTTATTGAATCCAGAATGTTGGTGTCGTTTATATAATTATTCTTACTTGTCCACAGAATCTGCTGACTTATCCAGCCATTAAGTAGCTGCAGATCATTTCTACATAACCATTGAACTTCCATTAATTCAGTCTCTAGAGGGTTGTATGTTTATATCATAATTTGACTTTTATAAAAAATGATTATTCTAAATATTATGTTTCTATAAAAATATACTGTGCTTTAAAAATATGGATGATAGTATCAGCCGCTCTTTCAGCCACTTCAAAAGCAACAGTTTGTTTAGAAATAAATTATGCAGTTAATGTCATAAAATTCAAATAAATATCAAACGAAAATTCTCAGTTTTAGACAATTCGATTTAAACGAAGTAAAGTAGCAGACGATAAAACGCCGAAGGTAAAAATTTACTCTTACAAAAACTTACTCTTAATTTTTTAAAAAAAAGAAAAGATACGAGAGAAATTAAAAAAAAAATAGTTAAAAATTTGAATAATATCATCTATAATTTAAAAAAATAGCCTTTCATATAGTATTAATAAATATTTATTACGCATCATTGAGGGAAAAAATGTCATATAATTAATTCTCCGTAAAATTTTACTTGAAATTTAAGGTTAAAAATAGCTGTGGCAATTCAGTGTAACAAAAATCCATAGACCACATTTGGCGTTATTATCGCTCAAAAAAAAGGATGCCAAATTTCAAAACGCGAAAATATGTAAATTCGTGTATATCTTAGAAAATTTTGAATAAAAAAGTCTAATTTTTTGCAGATATGCTTAAAAATACACCTACTTTAAGATGATGGTAAAAATTTTATAGGTTATAATTCAAAATTTTTTTCGAAAAATTTATAAAAATTATTTAAAAATAGAAATTTAAAAAATAAAACACAAAAAATGGGTAAATTTTATTTGGAATGAACCAAAATTTCGAAATGTGAGAGAAAAAATCAAAAAAGTTTAATAAAAAAAGAGATATTAATAAATATTTGCCAAATTCAATTAACATTGAGGAGCTAAAATTTTGAGAGCTAATATTTTAAAAAACTATTCGTACGATTTTTACAAAACTTGGTATTCTGGCATAATTTGAGTCGTAGAATCGAAATATGTAAAAAAATTGGTATGTTATTTCAGAAAAAGTCCGATTTTGTGTCAAAATACCTATGTTAGAATAGTGCTATATATAAATCTAATATATATCCTAAGTCGCGCTTTCGAGACATGAAAAACGCAGTTTGAATTTTGTCAATCGGCCCAGTAGAACGGGAGATATAGCACTGTCCCCCCCCCTTTTTTTTTTTTTTTTTTTTTTTGAGCAGTGTACCTTGTATTTTAAGATATACAGAAGCATATGAATTCTTTCCCTCGAGGTGACACAATAAATTCTGAAATATTGTGAAGCGTTAACCCTTTCTGGATATCCCATATATGCATTCCCTATGAATGTCTTTCACAATTGGATATCCCACCCATGCATCACTGGAGATTGAGCTTAAAAGACAGGTGATGCATATGTGCATTTTAAACTAAACCATTCTTTAAAGACCACTAGATGATGTTCTGTGTCCGTTACTTTTGAACTGAAAATAGTTTTACGATCTTGACTTCCATTTTGATCACATTCTGCCTAACTTTGCTGTCAGCTGTTGCAAGGGAAGAGGACAGCATAATGTAAAGAGCTCGACTCTTTAATTTGTCACTTGATATAAATATTCACATTTACGATATCTCTTTGATTTTTTTTTTTCTTTTGCAAGGGGAGGGGGCTATTATGTATGGTCTTCTAGAGTTACTGTGTGGGGTTCTGTTACAATTTGCATGGCTTTTATCGTTGATATTTCATGTACTTGCCTTTTTATTTTGGAAAACCTTGACTGTAGTTTATTTTGGTGAGCAAACATTACTTAATCAGAGGAAGGTTATACTCACATGGCAAATGAACCAGTTAGTAACAAAGAGACAAATGATCATTCATTTTCTATGAAGCCTAGTTAGATAGCGATATTTCTAATGATTCTGATGCGGACATTTTGTCAGAGTTCACTAAGTTCTCACTAAGTTCTTGCCTTCCACTTCTTGTGAAAGATTTTTTTTACTTCTTGTAAATAGACTTTCTTGTATTTTTTATGCATTTTAAAGTTTATTAATATATTTTGTCAATTAAAACTTTGGAATAATATGAATAGCAGTTTCAAAAATTATTTCTCAAAGTAAGCAATTTTTTCTATATTTTCATGTCAAGTAAAGACAAAAGATTATTAAATGCTGATTTTAACATATATGATAGCTTGAGTAATAATCTAAAATGGTACCGAAAATTGTGGCTTTAGGACTTAAACTGTGTGATTCTCCTCCCCCAACCTAGCAATGCAAATCCCTCTCCTGTGGAATGATTCCTTTTGACTCCCATCTGTCCCAAGGGAACGTCTTGAATAAAGGCACACCATCTCAAAAGTGTTAACTAAACTGTATTGTGGAATCTAAAACTAAAGGTGTGGCATGCTTAGCAAGGGGATTGGTTTGCTTTATGGCAATGTTCATCCATACATGGCTCATGGAACCCAAGATCTCATTGCATTATATGGAACAACTTATCATCCTCTATAGCCCTAATCTAGTGCTCAGTGACATCCACCTGTTCCTTCACTTGAAAATGTATCTAGGGGCTGAGCACTAAGACAATTATAAGATAATTATAATGTCAAAATGTCAACCTGCAGTGGCTGACAAATCAGGTGGCAGATTTCTGTGACGGTGGAATTCTAAATCTGTTTGTATGATATGATAGGTGCCTTAATATTTGTGATAATTATATTGAATAATAGATTAAGATACAGGCTTTCATGTAAGAAATAAAATTGTTAAAAAAACTGAACTTATGTTTTTTATCTAAATGGTAATTGCTTAAAAAACACACCTCGCATATTTTGTTACTTAATTTGTTATAGTATTAAGTTTTTATTTATAAAAATTTTGAAATGTTTATTTAATTATACTGAAGTTAAACATTCTGTGCAATTGTTATAATTTATGTGCAGGATGTTTTAATATTTTCATTCTTTAATCTTTGCACATATATTCTATTACATATTTGAAATATAAGGTTTTCACTTAAAATAAAACTATTTGAACTAGAACTTCTAAAAACGTTTGACACAGAATGATTTGAAAATTTTATTTTTGTTTATAACTGTCCTTTTTCTTAACTGCTATTTTCCAAGAACCTGTATGCATTTTAGGTATTAGTATTAAATTGATTATTATTTTGAAAGCTACAATTGTGTACTCCCTGTTGTCTTAATATAGTCTTTCAGATAAAAGATCTGATATATGTCTGATAAATTGCCACAGTTAGTTTGCGTTGTTCTCTGCAGTTGGAGTAAGTTTAATAAAACAAAGCTTATTTGCTAAATATAAATAGGTTACGTATATGTAAAAATTATAGTTTGTTGATGTCTGTGATATGTTATGCCTTTGCATAGTATGTAATTTCACTTGTTTATATCATTCACCTAGTATTAGTAGTAAGGAAAGAAAACTTTCTGTTCTTTTGTTTAATTATATATGTGAGCTTTAAATTAATGCTTTCTGAATATTGTATGCTAAATCACTGCTAGAAAAAGCTTTGAAACTAGACCCACCATATCTCGGGATAATTTATTTTTGCAATATAAGAGTTAGTTTATTTTTTCTATATTTAGTTTTTCATATCTAACAGTTGTCAAATTAATTCCAGAATTATTTTTATTGCCATAATTGTATTTAAGGACAAATAGGATATAATGTTCCAACAGTAAATAAAAATACATTTGTAAAAATTACTCATTTGCTAATTTTTCATAGTTACAAAATACTTTGTCTTTATTATTCCACCTGCAGTAGATGTCTGCTTAAATAAATAGCTTTGATAACAATAAAAACTAAAAGCTATATATGTGAAATATGCGTAAAGCATTTGAGATGCGGAATTACAAGAAAGTTGGTCAGCAATGTTTATTACAATTTTCCCCCAATAGGTATCATTTTTAAAAGGCTTTTCCAAAAGATCTTAGTTGCTGTATATGAGATCAGCATAAGTTAATTGTTTGTTAAAAGAAATGTTTTAGTAATTATATTACTTACTGTTCATTCTTTCCAGTGCATTTCTAGCAAACAAAAGGAGTCTCAATGAAATTTAGTTCAAATAAAATGATCTAAATTTTATTTATAATACTTATTATTGGTCAAAATTATATTAAACTTTTAATACTGTTGCTTAATGAGTAAATAATAACTGCTCAACAGGAATTATTTATTTGTTTTGAAGAATTGTGGACTCGAATAGAAGTATTATTTGTGACATAAAAGAACTGGAACTGTGGGAAATTGTATATCTTTCAATTCTGCCATAAATTTGTATTTGTAAGTTGTCTGTGACCACTGATATTTACACTGCTTAGCAAACTTTACAGGAAATTTTGAATTCTCCCAAAAGTAGTGCAATTGACTCACAAATGTGATGCCTTTGCATAGTATGTTATTTCACTTGTTAACATCATTCATTTTGCATTAGGAGTGAGGGAAAAAAACTTTCTCTCTTACTGATCTGTATGAGCTTCAAATTAATGTTTCCAAATTATTGTAGGCTAAATCACTGCTAGAAAAAGCTCTGAAACAAGACCCAACATATCTCAATGCAGTGTATTTGCTGGCAGCCATATATGAGCAAGAGAGATTATATGAGAAAGGAATTGAGCTGTAAGTCAATTGTAATTTTTCTTTGTGTTTGGAAGAAATTGTACTTTAACCAGTTAACTGTGGCACTCTCGTTTAAGAGTGCGCACCATTTTGTGTCGCCAGAATTGAGCCATGATGAGTATATTCGTCAATCACAGAGTAAGTTGCGCTGGTAAGATATTTGATGAAAAAGATGGGTTTATTTTATAAAATTGAAAATTTTATTACTAATATTTACTTATTTAGTTAGCATAAGCATATATTACGTACACATTAAACTAAATGCAATAAATTAAATTAAATATTATTCATATAATAGTAAGAATTTAAATTCCTGCTATGGAGTGATATTCAGCGAAACAGGGTACTATACACAATGGGACTTAGCAAAGCGAACACCAGTACCTCGATTCCTTCCTGATCTTACGTTTGTAGCAATGTGAACACCTTTGCATAGGGTTGTTTTTATTCGATGTTCCGGGTGTATAATCCGGAACATGATTCCCGCCTAATTGGCTTACATTAGGTCTAAATGGCTGAGTTTGTGTTGATTTATTTCTTTCAATTGGATACATCACAAAAGTGTCTTCAATAAATTTGAGCAAAATGATACGCGATAATGTTCCATTATTTTTTTATATAATATGAATGCATTCAGACACATAATGTCTAAGAAATTGAGAAATATCTTTTTGTAGTACTTTTTGAGTCGTTTTCTTGCTGTGGAGTATGCTATGATAATTTCATCGCTCATATCTACTCCACCCATTTTTTTATTATAATCACTCACTAGCTCTAATTTCTTTGTTATTATTTTTCTTTTCTCTTTTTCTATTATGTAGTCATTATGTACAGTATTTAATAAATAAACCTCCCTCGTATCTTTCCATTTCATTATACGCATGACAAATATACTCATCAATACACAAAATCGTGCCGCTTCTCCATGACGAGTATACTCGGCAATCACAGTTAACTGGTTAAAAATAATTCAACTAAATATTTGTTTCTCGGTGTTTCTGTTAATCAGTAGTGCTGAAATCTATTCTTAGTCAAGCCACTAAAATTATACAGATGTATCATGTTTTGCTAGATATTGTAAATTTAGTTTAAGAAAACTATGCTAAAGCAGCTTTCTTTTAAACTATGCTAAAGCAAAGGTTGCATATTTTCTCTAAATTACATTTGCAAGCTGACAGTAACATTGATGTTCATTGAAAATAGACTATCTGGTATATTCAAATGCATTGGAATTTATTGAAAATCTAAATAACTATTCTGAAAGTCTTTTGATAAAATGGGCAGTTGGTGCTACTTATCTTTTTATGTTTATCCGATTCTGCCCAAACTAAGTACTGGGTTAAATTAATTTCTCGCTTTCAATAAGACACTGCTGTAGTTTCAGTTTAATTTTGAAGTCTATCATTCTCTCTGATCTTAAAGGTACATGTTTGATCCATTAGAATAAGTAGTTATATCCATAGCCACTGAAAATTATCCAACCAGTTCTTATTTCAAATTAATAAAGCATGCTCTCATTGTTTCTTTCTTTTTTTTTTTTTTTTTTTTTTTTTATTCAATGAGGCCACATCAACCACCTCCCCAGAAGCTTAGGTTGGACGTAAAATCAAAGTATCTGTCAGAAATACCCTGAGAAATTTAATATGAATAATGTTATTAAAAGTGTATATAGTTTTTGAAAGTTAATTTCATGTTTGAGTGTTAAACATGAAAATTTATATTAATTAAGCATTTTCATTTGAGAGACAAATGTTACTTTATGCTCACTTCATTAGAATGAGCATTTGATCATACATATTTCATCCTTGCGTCCCAGTGTTTTGCAGTATATAGCATTTCAATTCCAGTAATTCAAATATTAACTCAAAATATGAAACATTTTTTATAGTTTGCTGCCCAAGTATAATCTGAAACCTTAAAAATAATTAAACGTATCACATACAGCTCAGTTAATTAAAAAAATTTCTGAAAATTCTGCTGCTTATCACTTACATTTTTCTCACTGTTAATTGAAAAAGTAGTTTTAATAACATCTGTGATTTATTATTTGAAATTTAAAATCTTGTTCAAAGCATTTATGTAATTTCCTGAAAATTTCACTTGTAAATCACAAAGTTGACTGCTAATAACAAGTCTTGATTTTGAATTATTAAGAGTTTTCTTTTATTATAGCTTATCAATTTTACAAGCTAATACCTATCCAAGAAGCATTCTTAGATTTGGAATTTTTATAAAAATTTTATATAGCATGTTGTTTAAATCACTTCCCACTGATAATCCATGAAGTATAATTCTGTCCCTCTTGAATACATCACATAAATTTTCTCATGTTCAAACTTTTTTTTTTTTTTTTTTTTTTTTGTGTGTGTTGTGTGTGTGTGTGTGTGTGTGTGTAGTTAAATTTCCAAATATTTTTATATGAAAGAAAATAAATTCACTGTTCTGATATTTAAAAATTAATGTCTTCTTATTTTCTTTTTTATTAGCAGTATATTTTTTTCTGTTTTTAAATTAATGGAATTTTTTCATAATTTGTTGAATTCATCCAATAGAATAACTCTCATTTCATTAGCTGTTTCTATCAAAACAAATGTTTTGTTATATGTGTGTTTAATTTAAATAAGTGCAATATATTTAAACCCACAAATGATGTTTTTCATATTGAAGCTAAGTAACTTTTTACATTTTTCTACTTATCAACCTACTCTGTACTTTTTTTTATTGTAGCAGTGCTTGGTCATTAGAGCAGTAATTTTATTATGGAGGAAAAAAGGCAAAATTTGTGGGAAAATCTGGAAATTTAGGATTTGCATTGATCTCCCACACACAAAAGTCCATTCTGCTGGATGCAAAATGGCAATGCAAGTAATTAATAAGTAACTGAAGCAGCATTGCATTATATATTGCACAGAAATATTTAAAAATTTATACTTGCATTAAAAATCAGTCTGATTGGGCATTGTTAAGAATGCTGTTGCATGGTATCAAGATTTTCTTTAAGTGAAAGGCACTTTGCTGCATTAGATTTTTATGCTTACATATTTTAATTAATAACAATGTCTGAATCCTGCCTGCCTCCCAGTCCCCCTTTTTTTTTAATTTAGGAAAGCATTAACTATGGTATCAACTGTATTTATAAATACTGATAGATAGTGAATGGCCACTTTGTGTTGCTTAGATAAATATTTTTTGACATGTTCCAGAAGTCTACCAAACAGTCAGTATTTATATTGATTTCAAATCTGTTATGTAATTCATTTTCTGATGTCTGATTAATGAGTCTAAAAAAATTTTTTTTTAATATCTGACCAGAAAAAACTTTGAAAATCATTAAAGGGATTAACCATATTCTTTTTAGCTACATCATGTATAATTTTAATTGTTTTATTAATATAATTTTTATGGAGTAGAGTTTTATATGTATTTTACCATGAAAGACCGAAATTATAGGTCAGTGAGAAACTTAATATTTGGTTATATTCTTGTACATTTTGACCCTCATTGGTTTTTGTTGCAATAAATAAGACTGTATAACCTCAATCATGTAATTAAGTAAGTTTCTTATTGGTGTTCTTTTCTCATTCAGAATATACTGTTCATTTTACATTCAACAATTTATTTACATGTGCTCTTACTTAAGCGTTTTCCTATTTTGATGTATGTCATAATATGTTTTAATACTAAAGTATGATTTATAAACATAAAACTAAAATATTTTTATTCAACATTCAACATCAGTGCATAGCAAATGTCGAAATTTTCAAATGTAAGTGAGAAATAAGGATATTTAGCAAATATTTCGGACATGCACCAAGCAACTTGGTAAATGTTGACATAACATATCATAACAATGGTGGCACTTCCTTCTTTGAAGGAAAAGAGTTTAGGCAATGTCGGCCATTACTCTTCCGCCATTTGAACATTTAAAACACAGATTTCAAATGGTTATTTTCGTGTAAGGTAAGTAGTAAATAAGTAGATAATATCCCAAACTACCACCAAGTATATAGTATTAGTAAAAGATCCCATCTCTAAATTCAGGGGGTCAGTTAAATTGTTAAAACATCCCAATTGGATGAAGAGCCGATTCAATCCCTCCCAAACCACCAAACGCAAACTCTTGACCAAACAAGTGTAAGATGGTGAGTCTGAAAAATAAATTAAATGAGGAGGGACAGAGGTACTTCCTTAAGCCAGGTGGTGTATATTATAGATTTGATATCTGTATTTATATTCCAAAATACAGCCATGAGAGGGAATTCCCTGCATAGCTTCTTTTTTTTTTAAAAAAAGGGGGGGGGCCTCACAGGGTATCTTGTTGTTTGTTTCTTGTGGTTTCAAATTCACCTTACCTGTAGGTGAAGTATACATTAGGAACCCTATTATGCCAGACAGCCCTTTGTATAGAAGGGCCTGATTGAAGCTGATGTAGAGAAACCCAAGGAATTTGTTTCTAGGGGCAGAAAACACCAAACCGGGCATCGTCCCAGGAAGTGAATAGGTTATTTCCTCTTCTTCTGCACCAGCTGGACAGAGAGGAGATTTGACAAGACCATATTTGTTGAGATGCTTGGCCAGATAAGCATGTTCGGTAACAATTTTAATTACCTGCCATAAGTTAGTTCTACTGAGTGTATACGAGTTTACTTGATAAGTTGAGTGTACATCGAGTACCAATTTAGAATGAGCACAGTCTGGTAATTTAGACCTATATATCAATCATGTTTGTTCTGTATCCAGTTTCGTACTTTTTTTTTTTTTTTTTTTTTCTTTATTTCTTTTTTAACAGTTTGATATGAGACTGGGTAAAATGGTTCCTGGAGTCAGGTATGGGTAGTTGCAAAGCATCTTTAGCTACTTTATTCGGCTAGTTCATTTTCACCAAAATCACAATGACCTGGGACCCAAACTAAACTAATTGTGTTATGGGCCTGAGCCAGAGAATTGAGATCTTGAGTACAGTTCAAAACACAGTTTTGTAACTTGACATGATTAGCCAG